TATTGATATTTTATTAAATGACTTTTCTCTATCTATCATCTATCTATCATCTTTCTGTCTACCTATATATTTTTTTCCTTCATTCTGTGGATGTGGTGCATTACATGTATTGACTTGCATATGTTGAATCATCCTGACATCCCTGGGATAAATTCCAGTTGATCATATTGTGTAATCTTTTTAATACGCTGTTGGATTTGGTGGGCTAGTAGTTTGTTGACGACTTTTGCATCTTTATTCATCAGGTATATTGGCATATATATATATGTGTTAATATAGGCCTATACATGTATGGCATACATATATTATATATTAAATATCTATTTAATTATGTATTAAATATATATTTTATATGTACACACACACACACACATCTCCTTGTCTAGTGTGGGATCAGGGTAATACTAGCCTCACAATATGATACTGAAGTACTTTTGCCTTTTTGATGGTTTGGAAGAGTGAGAAAAAATGATATTATTTATTCTTTAAATTTGGCTGAATTTCATAGGGAAGACCTTAGCGCACTGACTTTTTAAATGAGACTTTACTATTGCTTTAAACTTCTTCCTCATTATTTATCTCTCCTTGTTTTTATTTCTTCATAATCCAGTCCTATTTTACTGTATGTGTCCAGTAATTTGTTTATTTTCCTAGATTTTTCCAGTTTTTGGCATATACTTGTCCATAGTAGCCTCTTATAGTACTTTTTATTTCTAGTGTCAATTTTTTTTTTTCCTTTTTTTAAAGAATCTTTAAGATTTTTAGAGATGAAGTGTCACTTTGTCTCCCATGCTGGAATGTGGTGACCGTATTATAGCTCAATGAAGCCCAAACTCCTGGGTTTAAGCAATCCTTCTACCTCAAATTCCTGAGTAGCTGAGACAGGCATACATCACCAAGCCTGGCTAATTTATTTCAAATTTTGCAGATATAGGTTCTTACTAAGCTATTCTCAAACTTTGGACCTCGAATGATTCTTCAGCCTTTGTCTCCAAAAATGCTGGGATTATAGATGTAAGCCCGTCTGCCTGATTTCCTTTTTCTCTTTGTAATCTCCCATTTTATTTGAGTATTTTCTGGTTTGTTATGTTTTGTTTTGTCCTGTTTTCAGTTACCTTGCTAAAGTCTTGTCAATTTTATCTCTTCAAACAACTAACTCAATATTTTGCTGATTTTCTATATTGTATTTTATTTCTATTTCATTTATTTCTCCTCTAACCTTTGTTAAATATCTTGTTTTCCTAAAAATTTTGAGTTTCCTTGTTGTTTTTCTAATTCCTTGAGATGTTATCATAAATTGTTTATTTGAAATCTTATTACTTTTTTGATGCGTGTGTTCATTGTCGTAGACGTTCCTCTTAGAACTGATTTTGCTGTATCCATTCATCTTGCTATATTATGCTGCCAGTTTTGTCTCAAGAAAATGTTTAAATTTACTTTTAAATTTCTTCATGTACTCATTGATCATTCATGAACATACTGTTTAATTTCCACGTAGTTGTACAGTTTATAATGTTCCATTATTGATTTTATCTTTTTTCACTGTGATTATAAAAATTATATGAGATGATTGAACTTTTTAATATGTGTTTTCTCTTTTGTAATCTGACAGAAAATGTTCTGTGTGCTGTTGAGAAGAATATGTATTCTGCAGTTTTTGAGTGGCATTTTCTGCAAATGTATGTTAGTTTTATTTTGTCTAGAGTGCAGTTTAACTCCTATATTTTGTCTAGAGTGCAGTTTAACTCCTATGTTGTTCTGTTGATTTTCTGTCTCAATTATCTGTTTGTTGCTGTAATCAGGGTTTTTAGTTAGTGTACTATTTTTGTATTACAGCTTATCTCACTCTTTAGGTCTATTAATATTTGTTATATATTTTCCCTGGCATGAGAGACACACATGTTTACAATTATTATATTCTGCTGCAATATTAACCCTTTATCATCATGTGACGGCTTTGTCTTTTTAAAAATCATTCTTGACTTAAAGTCTATTAAATCTGATATAATAATGGCTACTCCTGCTTTTTTTAATGTTTATTTTTCTTTTCCACTGGAATTAAATACCTTTTTCTACTTCTTTACTTTTAGTTTATGCATATTTTTATAGGTATAGTAATTTTCTTATAGGAAAAATATAGTTGGGTATTTTTATTTTATCCATTTAGCCATTTCTAAATATGTTAATTGAAGAATTTAATCCATTTACATTTAAGAATATTATTAACAAAGATTTAATACTGCCATTTTTAAAATTTTTCTCTGACTGTTTTCAGATTATTTTATCCTTTACTCCCTTCTCTTACTGTGTTCCTTTGAGGTCAAGTAACTTTCTCTAGTAGTATGTTTTAATTCCATTTAGGTAATTTTACTGTATCTATTATAGGTTTTTGCTTTGAGGCTACCAGGAGGCTATGGAAACACTTTATAGTTATAAGAGGTTATTTTACATAAATTACAACTTTAATTCGAAGGAAAAAAATTAAACTGCATTTTCACAATATTTACCCAATAGCTGGACTTTTTCATGTCTCAATTTACATCTTTCTATGTTGTCTATCTCTTAATTGTTGTAGTTATTACCTTTATTAGTTTTCATTTATACTTTTATACTAAATATCAATTAGAGCATTAGAGTATTCTGACTTTGTCTATGTATTTACATTTACAAGTTACTTTGTATATTTTATTTGTTATCTGTTAGTGTCCTTTTCCTTTAGAGTGAAAAATATCGTTTGCATTTATTTTAAGAGAGGTTTGGTGTTGGTGAATTCTCTTAGCTTTTACTTGTATTGAAAAATCTTTATCTCTTCCTCATACATGAAGGCATGTTTCGATGAGTATAGTATTCTTGGATTAAAGGCTTTTCAAATTTTTGTTTACTTCAGCATTTTCACTATATTATCCCATTCTCTTCTTGCCTACACGGTTTTTATTTTATTTTTGCCGAGAAATTCACTGAAAACAGTTTTGGAACACTATTGAATGTGTTATGTTTTGTTGTTGTTGTTGTTTTGTTTTGTTTTGTTTTTGTCTCTCCTTCTGCTTTCAGTATTGTTTTTGTTCTTTGATTTTTGGTAATTTGATTATAATCTGCCTCTGGAAATTACTTTCTGGGTTGAATTTGTTTGGTGATGTCTAAGCTAACTGTTCCCAGATAAGTATTGTCTTTCTCCAAATTTGGAAAATGTTGAGTCCTTGTTATCTTGAGTTGGTTTTCTAGTCCTTTCTTTTCTATCTCATATCCGTTGGAAACTTATATTATGTGGAAGTCGTTCCCTTCACAGTGTCATATAAGTTCTGTGGCTGCCACTATGTCTTTTTTCTTTTTATTCCTCTGATTAGGTAATTACGTTTTCTTTCTTTGACCTTACTGATTGTTTCCTGTTTGATCAAGTCTGCTGTTGGAGTTTTCTAATGAGTTTTTCAATTTAGCAATTTTATCCTGCATTTCAAGGATTTCATTTTTTTTATTATTATGATTTCTTTCTCAAATGCCTAATATTGTGTCTGCATTATTTTCCAAGTTTATTTAGCTTAGTTTTTTGTTTACAGTTTATGTGATTCCTGAATTTGTCAAAGAGATTTATTGTGAATTTGTTGTCAGATATTTAAGCATCTTCAAATCTTTTGGTGCATTATTGAAACTTGATTGGTTTCTTTTGGAGATGTTCATATTTCCTAGCTTTTTTTTGTTGCTGTTGTTTAACAATGCTTGCTCTTTACATTAATATCTGCATGTTTAAAAAGATAGCCATCTGACTCAGCTTTTTAAGGTGTTATGCAGTGGTGTTAAAACTTTACTATTTAATATCAGAGCTGAATCAGTGCCCTGAGGATTCTTTCTCTTCTGAGGAGAGCTTATAGTTGATAGCAGAATCTAAATAGTGCACTAGAGCTAAATCTCTTCCATGCTGTTGTTTTCCTGTCTGGGGAAGACTTATCATTACCATGAAAACATAATGCTGTGCCAGAACTTAAACCCAAACCTGTAGTAATGTATGGGTTGGGGAAGGCTTAAGAAATAACTGGAACTTAGTTACTGACCTGATAGTTGTTTCTGGGTCAGAAAAAGGCTCCGTATGATCACCTGGGATATTTGTAGAATCTAACCAAAGACTCTAGCCTTCCCTTGGATTGTGCCTCCTGTACTATTGTAGTGCTGCCTAGCCCCTCTCAGTGTGAATTCGCTGCTGATAGGACCGCAAATCTTCTGCCTTGATCTGTTTGCCATTTGCTATGATCAGTGCTTCTGCTTTTTGCTTCCAATTCAACCCAAGTGGTTCAGCCCTTCTGACACTCTTAATACCTCCTATGGGATGGAACAAAGAAGGCTTCTCACAATGATTCACACACTGATATGGGGATTGAATGTCCACCTGCAATTATTTTCTTCCACCTGTGTAATTGCAGGTACAGAGAAGTTTTCTGTGAGTGGTGCTATTTTGGTTTGGAGAATGGGTTGATGCAGCACAAATGAACTTTCTTCTTTCTGCTCATGGATTTTTTAATTTCAATGAACCCATAAGATTTTTCATTTTTCTCCTGAGCTCTGATGCTTTCAGAGTGGAATTTTTGTATTTCAGTATTTGCTAGTTGTATTTTTAAGAGGGACTGATGCTGGAGGTCTTCTATTCCACCATCTTGCTGATGTCATTCCTCAAATAATAATTTTATATTTTAGCAAATTATTTAGTTTTTAGGATTTTGTGTCTACGTGACATGGACATGAAAAGAAATGTACTCTTATCACTGAAACTTTTTGTATACTATTTTGGTTGTGTGCCTTTTCTAGTAATGAATGATTATATTTTAAGCCGTATGTTTTATACATACACTTTCCTATAAAGAGACTAGGTGGTTCTGTGCATCAGCATATTGGGACAGAATATAACTACACATTAATAATTTCTCAAGTCTTTATTTTAGAAGTGTAAGTAACCTTTATTTTAATCTTTGTTATGTTACACCTCTGTAATGCAGAGAAATTTTTATCTTCAGGAAATGGAAAATTTTGTCCAGAGTTCAGGGGAAGACGGTATTGTGGTGTTTTCTCTGGGGTCACTGTTTCAAAATGTTACAGAAGAAAAGGCTAACATCATTGCTTCAGCCCTTGCCCAGATCCCACAGAAGGTCAGTAAAACCTGCAATCCTGATAAGCAGCTACTCACATAATGAGACAGCACGGCTTTATTTGGGTCTTGAATCTCATTTTTCACTCAGTATAACAGGCACCAAAATTTGTACCAAAATTTGTAAAGCATTATAGTAGTGTACATGGGCATAATTGATCATTCGCCTACTGATTCTTGCTGTTACTGGAAACAACTCTCTTGACTGTCATTTGTTTATAATAAAATAGAAATAATAAATTAAGCCCCACTTTATATTTTAGGATTTGAAATCTAAAAACATGTGCCAACTATTACAAAAAAAATTCTGACATATATTATTTCAAAAGACCAGAAAAAGGAAAACTGATATAAAAAAATGTGAAGAAGAATCAATCTCAAGAATATTCCTTCTTATATTTTGAGTGTATAAAACTGTATTCAGGGTACTTTTACTTAGAAATAAAAGCTCAGATTAATGTAGTCTTTCTAAATAATTAGAGGTTTCAAAAGTTAAATGTCAATTACAATTATATTTTAGTAACTTAATTATTTAAGTAATGTAATTATGATATTCAACTAATTTTAACTTTATTACTGTAATTCTAGAATTTCACACTTTAGATAGTGGTATATATAAACTATCCAAAAGATATTTCATTTTATGTTTAGCTAAAATACATCAAACTCAATAAAGGCAAGTATACTAATTAGGAATTTGAAATGTTATAATTTTAATTATGAAATTATCTGTTAAGTAGTTAGAAATATCTATGCCATCCTTTGTTTTCAAGTGTACAAAATTTTTATAGGTGTACCACAAATACAAATTATGTTAAAAAAAAGGTCCAATCCCAAAGAAAATTTATCATGGAACAATGGAATTTTCTAGCTCATTCCTCTTCAATAAAACTATTAAATATAAGAAGAAGAGACCAGGAAGAAAATAGAGAAGAAAAGACACCCGATTATCCAAAATGCACACATAATTGAAAGCAAATTATATCTGTGGGGAACTGTAAATCTGATGGTAGAAGTGAAATGGTCCCATGAGTTAAAATGACACAGAGATCAGGTACTTACACAATTTTTAATTCTTATATGAAAAAGGATTAGCCAGTACTGAATTATTTTTTAAATATTCACCGATATTCTTATTCTCAAATATTTTTAATTGGTAATAAAATAATAGAATACTTAATAGGCAACTGGTACACATTATTTTTAAAGATCTTTGTAAAACGTCCAACCATATCTTTCAGTGTTTACGTGATACCTCTGCATATCCCTGTCGGAACCATCACCTGAAGTACAATGAGTTTATAATTTATAACTATATCTACATCCTTAGAATGCTAATATCCTGTGGTTTAATCTGTGAAATACATGTGTTTCTTCCACAGGTGTTATGGAGATACAAAGGAAAAAAACCATCCACATTAGGAACCAATACTCGTCTGTATGATTGGATACCCCAGAATGATCTTCTTGGTAGGACTATGAGAAAGTAAAAATATGAACTAGATGAGGAAAAAATGAATAAATGTTAAATAGCAAGCAAATTCAGCAAAGATTTAAAATTATAAAACTTTATTTTACTTACACTTTTGAAGCAGATGTAATTAAAGGATTGACTAAAATTGTATAGATTAACACTTTCTATTGTTAAAATGAGAGTGGCATGAAATGCAAAAGGAATTAATGCCTCTTTTTCTGAAGATAGAAATGATCTTTAGTAGCAATGCTCCATGTGCACTCCTTTTAAAGAAAATGCTGTATGCTTCAGTGAGTTATCTCATAGTTTCCATTTTTAGTCCTGAAATTACTTTAAAATTTTAGAATAAAATAACTCACAATTTCTCATCCAATTTGCATACTAGGTCATCCTCAAACCAAAGCTTTTATCACTCATGGTGGAATGAATGGGGTCTATGAAGCTATTTACCATGGTGTCCCTATGGTGGGAGTTCCCATTTTTGGTGATCAGCCTGATAACATTGCTCACATGAAGGCCAAAGGAGCAGCTGTAGAAATAAACTTCAAAACTATGACAAGTGAAGATTTACTGACGGCTGTGAGAACAGTCATTACCGATTCCTCGTAAGTACTACTGCTTGTACAGACTGATCTAACGTTGATTATGTTATACATTATGCCAGAAAATGTTAAATATCACCCTGGTAGACATTTTTAGGGATTTTTCCCTGCAATATTGAGTCATTCATCAGCTTTGTATTTGGATAGTACTGGAAATTATAGTTCATAGAGTGTCAATGTTTCTTCATGGAAATATTAGGTTTAAGTTAACAACTGGCTTACTAAGCTTCTATTCACATCTTTATTTTACCCCATTTTGTTAAGAATATACTGTTTTTCAGTCTCTCCACTATATCTGTTTAATGCTATGCAACCAACAATGTTCTTGTCACAACCAGAATCAATCTTTTAGTCAACAAGTTTTTGGCTTGCATAACATATGCTACGGTTTATCTACCTGTCTTTTATGAAAACAAAATGAGAACTTTTTAAGTTCTATGTATGTTTTTGCCTTCCAGTTATAAACAGAATGCTATGAGATTATCAAGAATTCACCATGATCAAAGTGTAAAGCCCCTGGATCGAGCAGTCTTCTGGATCGAGTTTGTCATGCGCCACAAAGGAGCCAAGCACCTGCGATCAGCTGCCCACGACCTCAACTGGTTCCAGCACCACTCTATAGATGTGATTGCATTCCTTCTGGCCAGTGTGGCAACTGCTATATTCTTGTTCACAAGATGTTTTTTATTTTCCTGTCAAAAATTTAACAAAACTAGAAAGATAGAAAAGAGGGAATAGATCTTTCCAAATTTAGGAAAGACATGACGGTGTAATCCTGTTAATTCCAGCCACAAAGAATATAGTGAAAACACGTTATCTTTCTATTTTTATATTATCTATACTTATATTTTATCTTAGCTATGAAGCCTAGAATTCCACGATCATGAAGTTGTGAGTATATATTATTCTTTCATTGTATTTTCCTAGGTGTCTTTACTCTCTTCTCTCACTTTGTGACACAAGGACATGAATACATCTAAATTTTCCTATTTCTGATATTACTGTTTTCATGATGTCATTACTTCTATAACCCTAAGTGATAGGGTGACATGCAATATGTTGATTCCTGGTGTGTGCCCGAACACATGGATGTAAAGAAGTAAAAAATGTAAAATTCACAAAATTCAGTAAACCACACAAATCAAGTAAGTGTTCTATGAGATTAGCTTGCTATGAGAAACATGTTTCTTTTTCAATTTAAATAAGCCCTTCTCCATACCCAGTATCAGTGATCTCAGAAAATGAATTGCTAATAATGATGATACAGCATTACACTTGGAAAAGTTTGCTATATTTCCATAGACCACATCTTGCTGTCAGGTCCTATATTTCTGCCATCACTCAACCAGTATTTTTTGTATTTTCTTGATGATAAAAAAGATCATTCTCATTATTGCCCTCAAACAACAAAATAAACTATTTTTTTCTGACATAGAGAAAATGTCAGTAAGATAGTCAAAGTGAACAAATTATGTTGGGATCAGTAACCATTAGAAATATATTTTATTATGATTATGTTTATGATTATGATTTTTTTTTTTTTTCAGACGGAGTCTCACTCTGTCACCTAGGCTGGAGTGCAGTGGCACCATCCCGGCTCACTGCAACCTCCGCCTCCCGGGTTCAAGCAATTCTCCTGCCTCAGCCTCCTGAGTAGCTGGGATTACAGGAGCCCGCCACCACCTCCAGCTCATTTTTGTATTTTTAGTAGAGATGGGGTTTCACTAAGTTGGTCAGGCTGGTCTTGAACCCCTGACCTCGTGATCCACCCGCCTCAGCCTCCCAAAGTGCTGGGATTACAGGCGTAAGCCACCGTGCCTGGACAGAAATATATGGTTTGAATTACTGAGTTTATAAAATTTGTTTGATAGTACACTTAATAAAGAAGATTTAAATGTCTATTATTTAAAAATGATGAATACTCATAATTCTAATCTCTATAATCAAAAGTATAATTTCCTGTAGAAAAAGAAAGAGATGCTTGCTCTGAAAGTAAGACCAGTAAACTGCTTTTCAGTCTCAATCTTTAAGAATTGCAAATTCATCAAATAATTGCTTACATGGTAAAAGTTTAAGGTATTAGAAAACCTGCTTAACAAACAATATTATGTATTAAATATTTTGATATGTAAAGCTCTACACAAAATTAAATATAGTTTAATAATCATTACACTAATAAGCAAATATGTTAATCTTTTCATTTTTTTACTGTCATATAATCTTAGTGATATGCCTATTTATAATTTAATATAAGGACTTGATTTATTAAATAAACAAATTGGCTCAATCGGTTTTTTGAAAATTTTGAAATTCTTACAGATGTTGATAAGGTATATCTATAAATTAATTTCAATTTTTAAAGGATGATATAAAAATGCATAAAAGTATTTTTCTTGTCTGTGTATCTAATTAAATGCAAATAAAATTATTTACTATGTTTTTAAAGTTTCTTAAGGTTTTACACCAATATGTTTTTTGACTTTTACAATATTATCATAATCTAAGAAAAGCTGATTATATCTGTCTTAAGCCTCATCTTTTCTCTGTAATTAAGCACAGCAATTGATTAACATGCTGTGACAGGTAGGAAGCCATTTCTGGAGTTGAGCCTGCTAACACTCTGGGGCTTTTTAGGTTAGACATTCATTGTACGTGGGACACTCTGCCTCTCAAGAGCTGTTGCTCATGAGACTCTCCTTCATCAATCTGGCATTGCCTTTTGAGATCAGTTGCAATTAGAATCTAACTGGCCTTACTGTTGTAATATGTTCCATCTTAACCAGCACTTTATTACCAGGAGCCTGCCGAGGTTTGTTCTCTCACTCCTGTAAGAAGCTACCAGCATAGATATTCTAAATTTTGGACTATTAATCTATTAACAAACCTTTGGAACATGTTCACTTTAAGTTGAGCATAGTGTGATGAGATGCAAATTACATTACAATCCTATATGTGTGTGTTTTAAATTTTAAAGGGTATAAATTAAATAACATATTCTAAGTATCCGACAAGTGTCAAATAAATGATATAAAGTCACTAAATCAAGGCTATTTGATCTCATCGTGTTTCAGAAATCTTCTGGTAACATCATCTTTTGTTTTTAAAATTATATCAATTATTGCAAACGAAGGAAATCTCAAGGGAATTTTTAATAATTACCTAGAATCTCACTTCTAGACCTAGCAAATAAGAGCAAATTCCCATATTTTCATCACACCGTCTTTAAAATTTACACATGGTGTGGTGGCAAAATTGATTTTTAAAGGTGGCAGAGTAGGAATGCCCTGTCCGTGTTCCCCCATGCAGAAAGAGACTTAACAACATTATATAGACCAAATTTTCATGGTGATAATCCCAGAAACTGGTGAAAAGGTTGCAGCACCCCAGAAAAGAGCAAAGCCAATAAGAATTTTATTTTAATATCTAAGAAATGTTGTACCATATCCTCTTCATAGATCCTTCTCTAGCCAGTACAGCTTTACACAATAGGAAAAAAATCCTTAGTCATCACTTTTCCCACAGGAGTGAAAGAAGAGTGGAATGTCTTCTAATGCTCTGGCTCCTCAGGGGACGTCCCAAGGGTCTGATTTCTGTCACTGAACTTAAATCACTTATAGAAATCCCAGCCTTTGAAAGAATGGGAATAAATGCAGTGTGGCAGTTTTGGGCCTTACCAGAAGAGCTGCATTATTACTACAGAATGACAACAGCTGACGGAAAATATTACAAAATCCTGAAAACAAACAAATAAACAAAAAAATCCTATTTAATCTGGTAATTACATTCAAAAGCCCAGAGAGGATACAGTTCTTGGAATGGTTTGCAAAGCTCTCAGCATCTCTAGCTGGGGTGATTGATGAAGGTCTTCCCCTACAATAAGCCAGGACATAAAGACTGGGAGATGTGGGTGTTTCTTTAAATCTCAAAATTTAAACAAAGAAATGCAAAACATGCAGACAATGGAAAATATGACCTATTTTAAGGAACAAAATAAACATTTTTTCAACCCTGAATGAACAAAGGTCTTATATTAATTACCTGTCAAAAAATTCAAAATATATTAAATACCTATCAAAAATTTCAAAAATAATTAAAGATGCTTGATTAGCTAAAAGAATACAGAAAAGTTTTTAAAAATCAGGAAAATAATACATATATGAAATAAGAGTATCAACAAGACATAAAAAGTATAGAAAGGAACCAAATAGAAATTCTGGCACTAAATAATATAATAACTAAATTGAAAAATTTACTAGAGAAATTCAATAGATTACTTGATAAGCATTTGAAATTATTAAGGGAGAGGAGCAAAAAGAATGTGATAATAAAGTGAAGAAAGTCTGAGATTTATGGGGCCTTGTTAACCCGACCAGTTATGCATTATGAGAGTCGTCATGGGACAAGAGGAAAAGATTGAGACAAAAAGTCTATTTAAAGAATTAATGGCAGGCAGAAAATTTCTCAAATTTGAGGAAGCATATGGACATAGAATTGTTTTAAAACACAACTACTCTACACTGAAATCAATTCAAAAATTTTACACCAGTAAATATTATAATCAATCTTTCAAAAGTCACAGACAAAGAAAGAATATTGGAAGCAGAAAAAGAAAAGAATGAATAGACATAAAAGGGAATTCACATGATATCAACAAAATACCAGAAGATAAATGTTTAAACCAAAGTCAGCGATATAATATATTCAAAGTGTTGAAAGAAAAATAAGAATAAAACCCTACCACACAAGACATTCATTTGGCAAACATGTGGTCTCAAAATTATGGAAAATGGAATATTTTCCAAGGTTGAAAAAAAGGTTGAAGAAGGTAATTATTACCACACCTGTTCCTCAAAAAAAGCAAAAAGAAGTAATTCAAGTCGAAATGAAGGAGGCTAGGTAGCAAAATGAATGAATGTAAAAGTAAAAATCTATCTGGTAGAGATAAGTAAGTAATTAAATATAAAGTCCCATAAGTTTTTAATGTTGATGCACAAGTTACTTTTAATTCTGATATGCAATTTAAGAGAGAAAAGCATAAAAGTAGCATTACATTTATATTATTTGGTACACAATATAAAATATATAACTAGTGATATTACTAACATAAAGTAGGAATGGAAGGTGTAAAGGAATAGAGTTTTCATATATAATTAAAGGTTTTTTGGTTTAAAATGGACTATTATTTTAAAATATTCCTATTTTATTTAATATTTATTTATAATTTATTTTGTATAATGTATAATTATTTATAAATAATTTTATAAAATAATTTAATTTTATATTTATATTTTCATTTATATTTTATTTATTTATTTTAAATACTTTTTATTATACAATGTTTATTATAAAATTTTTTATGCAATCCTCATGGTAAGCACAAAATGTACCTATAGAACAAGAGTGTTCAATCTTTTGCCTTCCCTGGACCACATTGGGAAAATAATTGCCTTGGGCCACACGTAAAATACACTAGCACTAGCCATAGCTGGTGAGCCGGGAAAAAATCGCAAGAGAAATCACAACGTTTTAAGAAAGTTTACAAGTTTGTGTTGGGCCGCATTCAAAGCCGTCCTGGGCTGCATGCAGCCCTCAGGCTGCAGGTTGGACAAGCTTGTTGTAGAGGATACACACAAAGAAGTGAAAAAAAGCAACCTGAACTTACAAATGTAGCAAAAATAGTACTATGAGGATAGTCTATAGTAATAAATGTCTATGTTAAAAGAAGAAATATCTATAGCATTCTAACTTTACATATCAAAGAACTGACCAAAATTATCAGAAAGAAAAGAATCATAAAGATTACAGCAGAAATAAATACAATAGAAAATAGAGAAAAATCAGCAAAGCTGAGTTGTTGCTTTATTTTTTTTTAAATATCAACAAAATTGAGAAATTGTTTTCTCGACTATAAAAAAAGTGAATAGTTGTATAATTAAAATCAGGCTGAGCATGTGGCTTATGCCTGTAATCCCAGCAGTTTGGAATGCTGAGGCAGGCAGATTGCTTGAGCCCAGGAGTGGGAGACCAGTCTGGGCAACATGGTGAAATCCTGTCTCTACTAAAACTACAAAAATTAGCCAGGTATGGTGGCATGCACCTGTAGTCCC